AGGAACACAACAGGGAAATAATGATGATTCAAGAAATTTCTGTGCTGAAAAATGCAGGAAAATCATTACCAAACTCAGTGTGATGTATGAGCAAGTGTCAGGTGAAGGCTGGCTATGCAACTATTGTAATTAAATTTAGCTTTCTACAATACCCTCTGAAGAGCTGATCCTCTAAGGATCTCAGATCTCCATGACCACGATCCTGCACCTCAGGCACTGAAGCAGCTCTTTCCCCTCTCAAGGCTCACACTCTTGCCACCTCCTTTGCACCACCTCTATGCCTGCACAGCTGGAGAAGCTGCTTATGCTGAGTGCACAGGGAGAGCTGGAGGGGAAGGGGTGCAAACAAACCCACCTGTGGCTGAACTGACCACAGAGCCAGATCACAAAGCATGGGGATGGCAGCTTGCATATAGCTTATGTAGTTCCCAGTCCTGATCCCAGTCACCCTGCTAGGAGCAGTGTAAAACTCACTTCTAGCACAGAATCACAGAACTGTTTGGTTTGGAAGAGACCTCAAAGGTCATCTCATTCCAAACCCTATCAGAGGGCACTTTTCACCAAAGCTGTCTATCCAACCTGGTCTTGAATATTTCCAGGGATGACTGCTGTCAAACTGTGGTGGCTAACAGGTACCCTTAGGTAGGATTGTGAAAAGTTCCCTTGTTCATCCTTGTGCTAGTGATTCACATTTTATTTTATTTTATTTTAAATTAAATACTTTGACAGTATCTTTTTAAAGTTCCTGCTGACAACGTCGTGATTTGAGATTGGCAACTGTTGTACAGCAGTGAATTAATTTTAAACAGTATAATGGAATTTTTTCATTGCATATGCACCGTGGTGATTCTCCCCAAGAGAGATCCAGACTCTAACTAAACCAACACTTAGCAAACAGCAGTGTAAAGGTTCTACATCCATGTTGTCAAGGCTAGGAACATCTGGTTAGCTTTCATTAGCAATGGATGCAACTGCAGGCAGGGCTGAGGAGAAGACAGAAGGGTATTTGAAAAGCTGTGCATCACTCGCCAGTGTATGTTTTAAGAGGTTTGTCTGTTAACAAAATGCTGTTGATTTTGCAAATATTTAAGTAGTGTGCTTGATGATTTGACTATATGTGGCCTTTTTGCTTCAGTAGAGCTCCTAATTCTCCAAAAGATTTAATATACACCCAGGTGTTTGCAGAATCAGAGCCTATTGCAAAGCCTATTATTATCTTTTGTTTCACAATATATTCAGACACTCTTTTTACCATGGCCAAAAAAAGTATGTATGAGGTGTGTGTGTGTTTTTGAGCAACTGCAATTGTTCTAGTTGATGTTATAGCAACCCTTCAGTTATCTATGCATTTTTTATAATACCTAGTGATTCTGTAGGCCGGCAGCCATGTTCACTATGCCTTGTATGTCTGATGTCATATTCTAACTTAACCTGTTAAATACAGCTTAAAATATTTTTATTTTATTTATTCTATTTTTACTGAAATATCCTGCTTTATTATGTTGATGTATTGTCTTTACTGGATGTGCTCTTGTAACATTCTCCACTCTGTATACTATAGGTTGCCTAAAAAAAGGCAGGCTTTGTAATTATTTATAGTCACATTTTTATTGAAGTCTGTAGAAGAATCATGTAAAGCAAAGCTAATGTCGTAATTTTTTTCAATGCAAGTAGTAAGTTAGAGGTATCACATGTCAGTCAGTCATGTCATTAACACACCCCCTTGCAGAAGCAAGGAGATTTATATTCACAGTCAATGACTAATAGATAAAAGCCTTTCTTTTGAAATCTGTAGTGCTGGCTGTAGGTTTTATTTAAGCCACTTACTGTTTTATTTACAGGGGAGCAAGGAGGTGTGGGAGATGCAAGGCTGTGGAGGCCACCTATAGGGTGGTTAACTGGGAATGACAAAAATAGCATAGGAATAGCACAGAATCCATTCACAGTGAAACAAGGTTTAGTGATATACTGCCTGTGCAGAGTCACCTGTACCTACAGAAATATTATGCTCTTCAGTGGCAGAGGAACAAAAATTGTGGAGTATCTAATAGCTCACACCAGGGCTGTCACTAAGGGTTCTACATTTCTTAATTTTATCAAGCATTTCATAGATCATTTACCATGGAATCTAAAAGTGTTAGTACATCACCCATGGAAAAGAGAACATTGTCATTTCAAGAGCCAGTATGGGCACGGCATTTCAGCATTACCTCCTTTCTTGGGCACATTAATTAACACATTGTCACATGTGCTGTCCCATCAACCCATGCAGGTTTGATTTAACAACAGTGAGACAGAAGGAAACAACACTGTTTATTAGCAGAGCCCAGTCTTACATAAAAAGTACATGACTGACAACAAAAAGGACAATTTTCCCTGCTGTTGACCACTTCTCCATATTTAAATGTAATCTGTTCTGGAATAAATTTAGCTGCATAAAGTGATTGTCTCAACTGTTACTGCTCCATGAAACTGCAAAATTGTTTTGTTCAGAATGGTGCTTGAGGGAAGGGAAGAACATACTGGTGGTTTAGAGGCAATAGCAGTACTCTGAGGAGTTTTGTATGTGGAAAGCTGAATCAACAGTTTCTAGTTAAAAAAGACAAATAAACAACTGAATTACAGAAAAATAGTTACATAAGATGCAGTTTTACTGTAAAAAGACTGTTACAGGCATCTACCTACAAGCCATCTGAAGCCAGTCCCAGGTGTTGCCACCATGTGATGTTCCATGCTTACAAAGTAAGCTGCTGACCTGCAGTTGAAATATTCACTCTCTGATATTCGTGGTAAGCCATGAAGATTCTGACTGGTTTAACCTCCATACTGTGTCAAAAATGCAAATTCCTGAAAGCAAAATGAGGCCAAGTGAGGGACATCATGGCACATATGACATAAGTAGCCCAGAAATTCTGTTATTAGACACATGTGTGTTGTTTTACAAGTAATTTCAACTTTCATAATGAATTATACACATCTTGATTTTTTAAAAAAGATCATTATTTAACTGCAGAATCTCTTAAGTTTATTTTAAGCATTTAACAACCATATTGCGAAAAAAAAATCTCCATAGTGTCCATTCCTTCCATCCAACATGTAGAATTTCTCCTCCTCCTAGATGGTTTTGAAATAAAATAAGATTTTTTTTTTTTTCTGGTTCTACACATGGCATGTGTATGGGTCTAAATCTATCCTAACAAGTTTATTCAGAAATAAGAGTAGAGTTCATTGTATTACTGGAGCAGGCAAGGAGCATGGATTGCTCACAGGGATATGCAGAGGGTGAGGGATATCTTTGTATAGGACAGCTGGCTCGGATTAAAATGCTGTAAGAAATTTTCACTGATTCAGTGAAGCAAGGATATTTATCAGATGAACAAGAGCCAGCTGTCTACACTGCTGGGGTAATATCATTCACATCTTTTCTTAAAAAAGGTACTGCAGTGACACTGACTGGTGTGGGTGAAGACAAAATAGAGATGTTATAGCATTTTCTCTGGATGGATCTAAATGCAGACCCATATGTCAAATTGGTTAAGTCCCACACTACAGTGGTGATGCTCCTGGCAACACTCTTCCCAAGTATCTGAAAAGGTTGCCTAGAGGAAAATTTCTGGGCCACAGATACCTTTGTCTTTCTGTATTGCTGTGCTGTCTCTTTCATTTTTACAAGTTCTAGATACAAATCGGGTTTACTGTTAAAAGTATCTCTGTGCCTCCTTTTATCCTCTACTCAGATTACAAGACAGTTGTAGATGTTTTACAGTTATTTTATCTTTGCTAGCAAAAGGGAGCAGCTTAGAAACAGCCCACAGCTGTTTCCAAAGACAGGCAGCTACTCTTTGCCCAGTCACTATTCAGCTGACTAGCAGTAACCTTTACAAAAATGTTACTTTGACAGTAGCAGCTCTTTTCAACTAAGAACTGTTTATGTTAAGAAATTGAAAAAAAGAAGTTATGAACCATGACATAGTCTGATGTGACATTATGATGACAATTCAGTGTTTTTAGCATGAGAATATTTGATCTAGTTTTCACTGTTAGTATTTCAATGTACACTTAAGAAGAAACCAAGAGAACACACACTAGAAAGCCTGTGCATGGGCTTTAATGTACTTGGCCAGTTCCCTGGACAAAAGTACACATCTAGTTTTAGAAATACAAGGCTTATTTTTCTTTCTTAAGTGATAACTCACAAAAATGGTATCTAGCACTTGTAAAGAAAAGCCACTTTAAAAAATTCAGTCTCACTTTAAAAACATTGGTTTGAAACTGATTACCTGTACAGGTTTAGACACAGTGAGGGGTTGGGTATACAATTTAACTTGTTACTTCAGACTGTATAGCAAGAGGCTACAGGTTTTTGACCTCACTTCCCCCAACAATCTATCAGCCTTAGGCAGCTGAGCTCCATTCACCTAAAGTGTGATTACTGGATGAGAAGTTACTATCTAACATGGATATTTCTATATACATAGCCCATAATATATCTTTCCCAAGGCCAGATTATCCTTGCATAAGTATATACTGTAGTTTAAGACTATTGATTAATATACAGGAACCTTTACCTTCTTTGCAAAGGGAGGGCAGAGTCTGAAGGTTCATACAGCCAAGTTGGCTTGACCATTTTTGACCAGGGTGGTGGAAATATCCAACCACTTGGACTCTGTGCTCCAGTGTGGCCATGAAAGCAACGTTGATACCCTGGGTTTGTTTCATTACAACCTTTCAAATGGTGTTATCAGTGAAGGCAAAGTGATTGTTGGGGGCTTCAGTACACCCCTGTTCTGTTCTGTGCATGCCTTTGAGCATGTGTCTGTCTCTCATACACCTTGCCCAGAGGTGACAGATGAGATTTTGGCTTCTGCACTTTCAGAGGTACTGTGTGTCAGTCAGGGTTCACAAATTTCTTCAGCTCTACATGGCTATCTGTTCAGGGCACATTCTTTTGCTGTGTGTTACTGGCTGCTTTTGTTTGGCACACCTTCTTTTGTTGTATATTACTGGCTGCTCTTTTCCTTTGCAGTCTTCTGTGGTGTGTCACTGGCTGCTTTTTTCCCTTGCCCAGTCTTCTGTGGTGTGTCACTGGCTGCTTTTTTCCCTTGCCCAGTCTTTGCTTTTGTGGGGCACACATGTGTTTCTTGTATCTTACTGGTTGGGCTCTTTGGGCATATGGGGCACACATGCTTTTCTTGTATCTTATGGGCTGCTTTAGACACAGGAGCTTCAGCCTTAACATTAGCTGCAGTTTGGCGGGGATGGAGCTTTGCAGCTTTTGGCTTACTGTCACCAGCAGCAGCCTTACGCCTACGTTGTTTTACTTTCGGCTTTTTCACCTCTTCTTTTGGTTTTTCTTCAACAATGCCATCTAGTAGAGCTTTTGCTGCAGCAGAAGCCAAAATGTCTTTAGCAGACACTTTTTTCTGAAAATTTCACAGGAAACAACAGTGAATCTAAGCCACAATAAAGAGCTTCTCAGAATTTACTCCATGAGAAAAAGAGCAGAATCTAGCAGAAGGACTTAAGTCACTTATGTGATAAATGCTAACCAAACTATTTATTCACAAAATTAGGAACTTGACTTGTGTAAAGAAGTACTGGAGCATTTGTTCTTCAGAGGCTTTTTTCTCTACTGACCCAAAGAGGGGAAGCTCAGTTCTGGGCTCTGTAATGTGTGTCTGTCTTGGCAACCAGCTGTTTAACCCCTTAGCTGGCTCCAAGCCCCACGCGGCCGCTTGCTCAGTCCCCCACCAACAGGAGCAGGGAAGGAAATGGAAGAGTAAAGCTAGGGAACTCCTGGGTTAAGATAAAGATTGTGGTTCCCTGGGAAAGACCACTGGGAAGACCACTGCCGTTACTGCAAAAGTCCTCCCTTCCTCCTCCTTCCCCCCACTTTATACAGTGAGCAACGATCTCACAAGGTCTGGGGTATCCCCTTGGTCAGTTTGGGTCACCTGTCCTGGCTGTGTCTCCTCCCAGCCTGCCACACACCCCCAGTCCCCTCACCAGTGTGGCGCTATGAAAAGCACAAAAGGCCTTGGCTCTGTGTAAGCCCTGCCCAGCAATAACAAAACCATTTCTAGGTCATCAACCCTGTGTTCAGCACAAATCCAAAACACAGCCCCACACCAGTCACTGTGAGGAAAATTAACTCCACCCCAGCCAAAACCAACATATTCCTACACTGACCTGCTTTATAATGTGCCTGTAAGAACAAAATATCCATTCTGTGTGTGTGTATCAGAAATACTTACTAAAATACAGTAACATTAAACATGAATAATTTTCACAGTAATGAAAGTTCTTGCTCATAATACATAAGTAAGGAATTCTCAAACTGGGAACCAGCTCAACATCCAAGTATATAAAGAGCAACAATGGGGGAGAAACTATTTACAGCTAGCTAAGAAGAACATTTCTGTAAACATGGAATTTCAGTTTAAATTGTAAATACATGTCTTCTACTTTGTGGAAAATGTTCATTTGCTGATTCACCTAAAGATTGGCCATTGGAGCAATTGCTTCTTTGTATTAGAATTTGACCCAAAAAAATTACTTGAATTAACTACCTGCAACAAAGATGTTTGTTTCTCTGGAGAGAGACAATATGGTAGAGAGATGCACATAGCACGATTAACTAAAACTCAGACCAAGTTTAAAATATTTAATATTGTAAAGAAAGAGGTCAATAATAGGTAACTTGAAAGGCTTTTCATACGTAATTCTCTTACTCTTAATAAAACCTAACTTGCCCCAAGAGGCAAGCTTCTTTCAAGCACTGTAATTGCAGTATGACAGAAAATGGTACAAATAACCAAGATCTCCTATCTTTAATTTGCAATGAAATTTGGATTAGTTCTTCCCCACAGCCCTTCCACTTTTGATGCACAAAATGTGTGTTTTTCTTAGAGACAAGAGGAAAATGTTGATGCTCAGAGATGCAAACTAGCCCTTTAAGGCCTTTCCTCAGGAATCATGCCAAGACTTTTCCGTTTACTCAGCAAAAGTCCCCTGCCTTTCAAGCTAGATTTGCATATGCCTTAGTTTGGGAAGGAAACATATTCATACCTATTTTATTCAAATTATAATAGTGTCACCCTTAGGGATTAAGACTTCAGTTGCTTGGATACTGGAAAATCTTGGTGACACATATAACAAATACATTTACGAGTTCCCTTTATCCTGAGTCTAATCAAGCTGTGCATTTCATTCCAAAGTGTGATCACAGCAATGTATTTCCTCTAGATCTTGCTGGCACTAACTTGGATCAAGGGTCTGCTCTGATCACGAGCTCCTGAACGGGCACAGCTTTTAAACTTGTGCTCAGCATAAAATTCCACAAGTGGCACATTTCAACCACTCACCTGTCTATTGGTCTTAAGACAACTAAAGAGCAGCCAGGATTTTTATTTCAAATGTCCATTTTGTTATTCTTCTGTGCAAATTTGCAATACTCATCTTCTGTGAAGTGATTTTAAATGGTTATTTTCATAGCTTACCTCTCTCTCTAGAACAGCTAGGAAACAACCACTGGAAATTTCTGATGGCTCCATTTTGAAAAACATTTCAGTGGAAGACTCTGAATCAGAGCAAGTAGAAAAAATAGAAGGAATAAGCCTGTGAAAAAGAAATGGCAGACCAGAAAATAATATTTAAGAATAAAAAAGAAAATAAACAAGGATACATTAAAAGTAATTTTCAAATTATGTCTTTCAGTAACATAGCTTTGTCATTATTTTTTTAAAAATGGAATTCAAGAAAGGCACAAGAATTCATCTTTTTAGAATCAAGTGGAGTGGGTTTTTTTTCCTTTTTTTTCAGTAATTCCTTTTTTTTTCCCAATTATTAAGTATATTAATCACCAGATAATAAATACATAATATGACAATGAAAAACTGTGTTCTTTCTCAAGTGTGCACTTACTGAGTGATCAAGTTGTCCTTGAAGTTGGGGAATGGTCTGAAAACACTAAGGAACTTGCAGAAATTGTAGAAGTGTTGACTTTGAGTTATAATAATAATAGTAATAATAATAATAAATATCATAACTTAGGTTGGGAAAATTTGCTATTTGTTCTAATTGAGGGTTTTTCTTCAATTTCACAATTTTGCAAGAACTAGCCTCTTCTGTTCCCCTTGAATTCCAGAAATGTCTGGCTGTTATAAAGCAGTCTCAAGGACTTTGCTCATAAGGCTAGCAGACTATACTAAGCTGTCTCAGTACAGAAAAACACTATCAAAGTGTCCTTTTGTAATTATAATTCCCTCCTCTTCACTGAGGACTGTAAGATAAGAGTCCTACTCCTTAATGCTCCACTAACTCTCTTGTGACAGAGCTTTATTCAAAGATGGTTACAGAGAAATGTATTCAGTATTTGAAAGCAATATCCTGATTTGGCTAGTTAGTTCACTTTTAATAGGAAGTCTGAAAAACTGTTTGTTTCCAAGTTCTCACCACAATCTGGATTTTTTTTCTATGTTCCTTGGAACTTGATAAAACAGGCTACAAGGCTCAAATCCTCCTCGCATTACTAAATAAAGCTCTTATGTCTTATGACACAGATTTTTGATTTTACATAAGCTTATTCAATAGAAAAAACCTCAGTGGTAATCTTTTATTGATGTATACAAGTTACTGTTCACCAGGAATCTCTTCAATGACCCTGAAAAATGATGTAGAAATTAATTCAAATTTGATAGGCCAAAGCAAAAGGCACGAGTGGTTTAGACTACTCTATACACACCTGTTTGCCATGTGTACTCTTGCTTTAGGTAAAGCTGCTGCTGTAAACTGTCATATCCTGAAGGTAAGTTCAGCTTAACCAGTGTGAACATGTTTTAAACCACCCTTAAAACTGCACAGCCCTAAAACCAACTGTGTGACCCCAAACTCCAACAGAGCCTTATTTTGTTTGGCACCACTTCAGTACTGCAGAGTAATTCCAAAAAGATAAAATGCACATAAGCAAAAATGCTTTAAGAGTTTCCTGAAAGCCCTCAATTTTCTTGGAAAAGGGAATTATTATTTAGTAGATCTTTGATGATCATACAATATGTTTTATTATGACTTGTCTCTCAAAGATACTGTAAACATGGGGGTTAGTAACTCTGCAACAGCCTTTCATTCTATACTGCACTGTTTTAGTCAAGCAAGTTCTCTAATTAATTCTAAGAAAAGGGTAAAAGGAATTTTTTTAAAGTAGTACATGCATCTTAAATGGCTTGAGCTTTCATCTTAAGCATAATCACTGTATATTTTATTTATGGCAATCTATTACTGCTCTGTTTGTGCTGATTACCAGCAGCTTTATTGTAGCAAGGACTATGATAAAACATCCAAGATACTGCATGACAGGGAAGGAGGAACTGAATCTGAAATTGTCATTTATGAAACTCAATCAATTGTCAGTCACAAATTTGCTCAGGTCTGAAAAAATCCTAATGTAATTTTATTGTCCTTTTCTTACCATCCAAGATTGCCTTTTTAAAAGTGTAATATGATTTGGTGCTTTGACAACATTCATGATGCTTCTGCACAACAGTGAACAGATTTTGGCTTAGCTTTGTGGGGAGGGAGGGGTTTTACACAAGGGGGATTTTTTAAAAAATAATTAAAGCTCCAGGAATGTTTTTTTAAAAAAATTTCTATGTTATAAACTTACATATTATTTATATTCAATAATTCAGAGACCATTACATTCCAAGGTTCCCCAAGTTGTCCCCATAGAGTAATAGCTGCACAGAGGTCAAGACAAACTCCAGAAAATTCCAAATTCCAAAGGAAAACACAAGCAAGAGGCCATAAATGCTTTTGGTCCAGCACTGGCAAGACATACCCTGATTTCATCCCACTTACTGTAAAAAAAATCAAGCAGACTGCTATTTTCTATCAGTGAATTTGAAAAAAGATGCACTTTGTTGCACTGTGTCTTATGAATAACATACAACTTTTAAACCTTCTTTGGACTGGCCACAGTTAATATTTACTCTTTTAATCATGCAAAATTTAGTTACACTGAATATTTGAGCCACAGTACCTTTCCCTTTGATAGCCAGACTATTAACTAAGGTAATATAAAATCGAAAAAATATAGTATTACTCTTCTGTGCTTTTTACAACATGAACTCTTTTAAACCTGCATCCAGTAATCCACTATTGTATCTATGTGCAAGTGAATGCCAACTGTTTGCACTTATGTGACTGAAAGGAAAATACAGAAAATACCCATCAGTCTTTTACCAATTCCTCTGGCTGACAGAGTGATAGCTAACAGGTTATAACTACATATGAAGTATACAGCATACATACTTTTCTCATCTAAGTTTGTATTTTCCATGATTGCACAGGCTGATCTCTTAGGGTAACCTGTCCTTCCTAGAAGGAAGGACAGGTTACAGTATTCATCTGAATACAGCAATGAGCAATCCTACAGCAAAGGGTTCTTATTCTTCTGTATGATTCTTACAATTTAAGATTTAATTTCTTTTTCCTTTGAAATTGATCATTCTACATCAGAAGCAGAGAGCATGCTAGCAAGTTAGTTTCATTCTCTGAACACTAATACAATAATAGCAAGAGCTCTATCTGAAGAATGTTATTTCCAACCAGTGATACTTTCCTCCCATCTTAATTTCAGATGAACAAAAATATTAGATGAGAAAATCAATAGAATACTGGTAAGTAATCTCATAAACAGAAATAATGGCATGACAGGCAGCAAAAGCTATTTTAATTTCATGCAAGATACATATCAGTCTAAGATAAGAATTATGCTACAATTCAAAGTCATACTTTAATTTTTCCACAGATAAAACTATTCATTCTGTACCTATATGGTCGTACTTTAGCTCCCTCCACTCCAGATTCCAGTGCTTTTTTCACTACAAGTTCATTTTCTTCTGGGTAAACTGAGCAAGTGCAGTAAACAATAGCTTGTACTTTGTTAACTACAAAACAAAACACAACTTTTTTACTCTTCAGATTCTTCATACTGACAGTGGTTTGGTAAGGATTAAAAGCATCATAAAAACTATGTCACTTTTACCTCCTGATCTCTAGTGTTTTTAAATAATTAAAATATTTTCAAATATTTGCAGATTTCAGCACAAAGTCAAAGTTGTCTCCAGTCTTTTCACACAACTACCAAAGAAGAGAGGAAAAAAGTGGCAGCATGCAGATGGAGGGAGACTATTCAAAGAATTTCTAAAGCAGAGTATAACTAAGCCATAAGCCAGTTCTCTACAAAATACTGAAGAGTATTATATTAATATCTGGTGGACACTACGACACAGAAACACCTTCAGACTGGAGGAAATCATTGTTCAGGGGGTTTGGTTACATGCTTATTCATAATTAATAGAGTAATTTGTGCATTTTTAACTATATTAAAACTGGTGATAATACAATGGAATTGATAGCACAAAGTCTTCCCAGAAAGTGGGAAACTAGCACACTTACATTTCAGTGCATGAAGCAACTCATTAAGCTGCCTCTCAGCAAGAATCCTGAGTTTATCCTCAGACACAAATCCCTGGAAAAGGTCTCGTAGCAATTCTGCATCTAAAAGCAGAGAGTAGTAAATTTAGTCTTGCAATTTGTATTAGTGTCTAAAAATTCAGTTGTTTGCAGAAGCAGATGTGGTTATTACTGGTTCAGTGGGAAGGTAGGTTTTACAAATTAGAATACCAAGGAGTGCCTGATTTATTTGCTTTACTTCTTTACCTGTAATTACTGGTGTCTCTTACTTGCTTCTAGTTAATGAGAATTGTACAGTGAAAGGATTTATACAAACAGTCAATAAAGGAATGTAATCAAATAGAAAATTATGTACATGTTGGTATCTTCAAATAAATTTTCTGCCTATATCTTTTTATTTAAAAAAAGCTATACACACTCTGCTCCCCAGAATCACCCTCAAACTTTCATACTATCAATCTGAAGCAGTCACAGAATTATGCAAGTTAATTTATATATTTTATAGTAATTAAAATAAGGAAGGTTTCTTTAATAAAATTATACAATTTACGGAAGCCCTGCACTCATTAGACTAAAATACTTGGATCTATTTCTACCAGAAAGCATGAGCTAGATATTGTATCAAAATTTACCTCTGTGTTCACTTAAAATAAGCTCCATTGGATTGCCAGCACCCAGTTCAGAGCATTGAGGTATCAGCAAAATAACTTTTGCCTTTTCAAGTCTTGGGTCTGTTGGCTGAAGCTCAGTAAAGTCTTCATGTAACAACCAAATATCTGAAAAACAGGGAAAACTCACCACTTACAGACTGCAAGCAAGCCTGCCTACAGGTGACAGAGGTGAACAGAATGTGGTGTTACACAGAACTGGACAGAGCTGAAGCCTGCTAGATTCAGATTCTCCACAGTATGGCCTATGGATTCAAGCTGATTGAAAGGCTGCATCTTCCACTGAAAAGACAGTTAATGTGCTGCATTCTGTCCTGATAGTGTCCTCCAGGTAAACTGGACAGGTGCATGTGTTTTGGATTAACACTCTCAAACAGCTGGAAATCAGACTGAAAGCAAGAGCCAAAACACCAAACGTTCCCCGCTACCAGCTACACCAACTGCTACATAGTAGCTACTTCTACAGAAAAAATCACCAATATTTCAGGAGCTTGCATCTATAATAGAGTTAGACTGTAATTAACTTGACTGTAGCTGAAGAGCTATCAGCTCACCTTGTGACAAAAAAGTTGTTAGTGCCATCCCCAAGCCTCCAAAGAAGGGCTCTCTGAGTTCTGACAAAATTAGTCCATATTTACAGATATCACAAACTGTATCTCAATACTTCTTCAAAATACCAACTGTTTTAGCACCTACTTGTGCATCCCATGTGACTGAAACTGTTCATCAGTTCTTCTTGTTTTACCGAAGATTTCACACCACAAACAAAAATGCTGCAGCTGCTGTCATTTGTCAGCACTGACATATGGGCAATGGTCAGGTGGGAACCCATGTGAGCCATTATAATGTCAGCACCTTCACCCAACAGCGCGCGTGCCGAGTGTACAGCGAGGCTGCGAGACTTATCCTACAACACAATGACACAACAATTAACTATGATCAACTGTCTTGGTTTCTATGAATGCCAACCTTCTTTTCCAAATGAGGAAAGTCTTCCATTGTTTTCATAGGAAATGGAAAAGAAAGGAGAAAAAAAACTAATCGGGGATATTTGCTAATCAGGGATATTTGCTAATACAGAATTAAATACATTACAAAACCAAGCAGTCACTCAATAAATTTAAATAACTTAATTCTAAGTAATACAAGAAAAAGCATAGTATCTACAGGTGAAATTAAAGTACATATAATCCTTGTAAGGAGGAACTCCTACCAACAGCTTGTTCCAGAAAAGACAAACACTGGCCACAATTCAGGCAGAATTCATCCTCTGAGGGAGCTTAACAGAGAAATGCAAAACTATTCACATAGCTCTTGATGATAATTGCAGGAGAAATGTTGCCCTTCAAGATTTTGCTGAAATTTGAACAGAGAGGCAGACTGGAATGCAAAAAGCACAAGAGACAGTTCCACAAGAGTAAATGCTCTTGTACCAGTGGTGATTAAGAGAAAATTTTATCAAATTACTTAAAAAGGGAAGGAGTGACGATACTGACCACAGATACCAGGTCTTGCACCAAATCTGACAAACTGATGATAAATGGAAAGGGAAAAAGAAAGTGCTAAGCCTTTAAATTCACATCACTGTCTATGTACACAGAGCATTCAAGCAACACCCTACCCCACCACAGAGATGGAAGTTTTGATGGTTTTATTTACTCATTTTGAATACTTTTAAGTAGTTAACACTCAGAATTTGTTCCCATTACCTACAGGGCTGTCATCTATAGTTCTTTTCTGTAAGTATTGTATTTAAAATCTACAAACTGAAATGGAATATTGAATACTGAGTCACTTTTTTAAGTTGAGCAATAAATTTTGAGGCTAAAGTTTTCAGATATCTAATGAAAATGCTGGTTGAAATGTTTCTGCTAGCATTTCAGATAATTCGTGGTTGTGTTGTTGCATGGTTACTGCAAGCCCCTACTCTAGAACAGAAACCTCCCACCAAACTTCACTGGGAATTCTAACAACGGCAAGTCAGGAAAAAGACCAGCAGGGGTTATGGAGATCAAGTAACCACACTGCACAAAATACAAAGAACTGTGATCATTCCATCACAAACATGCATTCGAAGAGGAAGAAATATTACAGTAGCATACCACTCCCTATTAACTGAGGGAAAGCATATGGAGTTAAATCGAAACTTTCCTCACACTTTCAGAAGTGAGACTGCCTCTTCTGACCATTTTTATATTTACTTCAACAGCTCTAAAATTAAATTTAAAACATTCCACTAACTTAATTGCAGCTATCAATTAAGCATTGACATTTGTATGCTAAATTTAGTAAGTGGATCCGTTTGTAACCTAATCATTACAAATGTCCAAAACCTTATGAGAGTTTATCACTGCCTGACTGATTTAATAGAATAGTCACACAATTCACAACCTCTTTCTAAACCAAAGCAATTATTTCAATGTTCAGATCATCTGACTCAAGGCTGAACATCAACTCACCTGCAGTAAGAGTTTGCAATCTGCAAAAAGATCTAAATTAAGCAGTTCTTCTTTAAGAGAGGAAGGAAAAACCAATACATCTTGGCAATGTTGGTCCACAGCATATGTGTAATGGTCAAAGTCTGACACAGATTCAACCTTTGTGAATCCCTTCATCTCCAAATCTCTGATAACATCTTCAAGGCTGTTAACATACAACTCTAACCATTAAATATACAAGAGTTACTTAAGCAACACAGTTTACATTGATTATAAGAATTTTTTACTTCTGTTATCATGTGTTTATACATATGCATACATATATAGGTATAAAATGCATACTGTCTAATGCAGGAGGGAAACTTACTCTCCTTTAGGCATGTAAGTTCTGGTTTGAAACAGTTAATAAGTCTGATACAATTAATTAAAAAAGAGGCATGTGTCAAAAGAGGATGATTCAAAGCATCAAAACAGAAATGTCCATGTGCTCAGGAGACGCAGTAGTAAATTTACTGCTGGGATGCTTTAGTTCTTTCAATTGCCTTCAATCTAGCCCAACTCACCAATAATTTTAATGGCTGACACTGAAAGAATCCTTGTGTAAATGTAATGAAAGCATAACTGCTGAGGTTAGCAATTCAAATATCATAAAGATTTAAAGGTATATATAGCAAGAGATGTTTCTTGAAATGCTATTTCAGACAGTGCCATAAGTTTATACAGTACATTAAACATGGGATGGAAGGAGCAGCTTTTATTTATTTCCTATTTAAGGGCTCTAAACTCACACTCAAAGTAAGGTACATTATCTTGAAGAGCCTATAACCTAAGCACTGAACACTGATCCAAGACAAGAGTAGTAAAACAAAATTCTTAAAAACGTTACAAAATGGATTACCTGTCTAACAAAACAGATAACAGGATAATGTGGTATGTGGTTCACGTACCAGTTAGTACAGAACTGGGAACAGCAGTGTTACATATATAGTAACCTAGAGAATACACGGATTTTAAAATGTGTATTTTAATTTAAAGTTTACATTATCCTTACAGAATAAACAGCAGGTTTAAGTATTGTGTTTTAACATCCTTTGTCAAGATTATGGTTTACACTAATACACCTGCTTTTAAAGACACTTTCTCTTATTTTTTGTCACCAAGTTAACTCACTCATATTTTTTTTCTAACTTTTTTTCCTCATTTATTTGAATGACCCACACAAGCAACAGAACAGGAAGAAGAACTGTTACAAAATAGTGTATAAATACAACTACTACAATATATAAAAACTTCAAAAAAAAATAACACAAGGGCACTGCACTAAGCAGAATTTTCCTGTAAGAATTTTTAATTATGGTAAAAATATAACCTGGAAATTCTAAAACAAGTACGTAGCAAACTATATCACTTCATATGCAAAAACATCAATATCAGATGATATTTTAAAGATCTTACCTGATTTTAAATGTGTTTATCCAAAAACAGATAGGTAAAGCAGAAGTCCTTTGTTCCTGCTTCGATATGGTTTCCGGTACAAAGTATTCAATTGAAAGAGCATCGTGTTTGATGCGACATCGTGCTAGTGCAGCTGCCAGTTTGGTCTCATAGCTATAAAAACAGTCACAAGTTTAGTAAGTTTTATAAATGTTTTCATCAGCTGTTAGCATGCAACATTTCTGTTACAAAACCATCTTGCTCAGAAACCAGATCCAAAAGGGACACCTTCTTCTACAAGCTGCAACGGAAAATACAGAACATTTTTTACCCCAGACAACAGCAGATGCAAGGTGTTAGTCAATAACTAAGATTATTTTATTTAAATCAGGCAGAACTGGAATTATAGCAGAGGACTCTCAAATACATCCATTTTCTCAGAGAGCTAAAAAAAATCTCAGTATGTTTTGGAACTGCAATGTGTGGAATACAACCATCAGATTCATTTGCATGTTTTAAAATATAAATACATACATGTGCAGAATGAGCATTTGATGAAAGCTGGCCCCTAAACATGTACAAAAACAATACAAGTATGATGGCAACAGGAGTCACTTTTATTATTTTTACATAAAAATGTCTGAGAAAATATTTCTAGTCTTTTCTTCCCACAAGCTTCATGCATATTCCTGATACATGATAATACAAAATAAATAAAAATTGCTGGTGAACTACTTCAGATATCTTATTCACTGCCCTCCAGAAACACCTTGCACTTAAGAGATTAATGAACTTTTTGGGCCATTCTAAATCCAGCAGCAACACAATTTTGTCTAATAAATGCCTTTTGAGTTAAACAAAATGTTGTTTGTAGTTTGATAGAAAAGATAATAAATATTAAAATGTTTCTGTATTCTGGTTTTTGTTCTCATTATTTAAAATAATAAATATTTAACAAAGTTTCATAGTAGAAGTACTGCTAAATAGATAAATGTTATTCCATTCCATGACCTCTTGATTCTATTACACTTGCATTTATGAATATTTAATTTCCTTCCTAGAATTGTATGAAAACTTCAATAATGCCAAAATAAGATAAGATGCCTGCAAGATAATCCACAATATAAGGATGGTTTCTTAGCTGCATTTTTCATAACTATATAAACATGAATGTTTGCCTCTAAACTAGTCTCTCATTAAAAAAAAAAAGCCCACAAAATTTTAAGGTGGAAGACATGTTTATTAATTACCTTTAAAAGGCACTGATTATACAAATCTTCATTTTTGCTGATCTGTATCAACAAAAAATAGCTCTTTGCACATATACCTGTATAAATAATCCCCTATTTCCTGAACTTCTGCTACAAGTTCCTCTTCAGCAAAAATCTTTCGGTTTTGAAATTTTCTGTCTTGTAGGTCATAAAGCATCACAACAAGCAAGCTGGTTAGCTCATCTGGCTGCAAGAGAAAAGCAACTGGATAAAGGAAGTGACCCAAAGCAACTGGATAAAGGAAGTGACCAAATTTTTTCAGAATTATTTCTGAAAAAAGATCCATATCAAACAGCAGACTCCCATGCAAAAAACCCTTAAATGCTTACTTGCAAGAGTATGAAAGTAATTACTTGTGGAGAGTTAATAAAACACTTTTTTAAAAAATATTTGAGTTTTTAAAAATGTATTTGAGCTTTAAAAATATTAAAAATAGTTTTTAAAACTCAAATACATAACTTACAAGTTGTTTTGATTATCAAAATTAAAAACATTCTCCATGCACGCAGATAAAATACTGTATCTTAACTTCTAATGTTATCAGAATTGGAACTTTGAAATTATTTTGTCTTCATAAAGTAGTTTGTTAAATAGCTAAGCTAACAAAAACTTCTTGTCTATGAATTCCTCTCTTGTGGAATTGTCCCAATACACTCAGTTGTAATAACCCTTCTGCTTGTGGGATATATATAAAACCTCCTTTCTCTGTCTAAATCTTTAAACCAGGGAGTCTGCACTTCAGTTACTATTGTTTGCCTCATTACATCAAATTCTTACAGTTATTATGCCTTCTAAAATTCTTGCCTTCTCACAAATATCACCAAAATTAGTTAGAAAACTGAAGTTATTAGGGAGATACTACCAAACACAAGAGGTTAGCATAAAACTCTTACTTCCTTACAAAAACAAGCCAAAGATAATGGTGTTAGATCATCTGCCTGCTCACGTCAACCTCCACAAACCATATCAGCTCAAGTTTATCTTGCAATTTTCAAAGGCATCAAAGAAAAAACTGGAAGGAACAGCAGAACATTCTGCCAAGCTCTAGAATTTCCTTCCATGTCAAAGCAGGAAACCATGTTGAGAGAGTGAACTGGACCAGTTTTTGCCAGTACAATATTTGTACACAGTACTGTTTGCCCAGAAAATGAACCATGGGGTCAATGCATTTTTTGTCCGATGGGATTCACTCCATGTTTTCCAACTACCATGGATAGGAAGGAAACATTTTTTTCCCCTGCTCACAAGGGGACACAGCTGGGAAGGAAAGCACATGGACATGGATAATATCACTGAGCAAGTACTATGTGGTAGTGAAGTTCATGGCTTGCTCTCCCACCTTCTTTCTTTGAAGGCTTTGACTTCCAGCAATCAGTTACAACAGAATCTCAAAACAGGCTTTGGAGATGGATGCTTTAGACAGCCATGTAAAAAGGTCAGCAATATTTCAGTCTAAGGCTGTCATGTGCAACAAAGGTTGTTTTGAAGAATGTTGTAAAATCCTCAGAAAAGGTACTAATTTAGTAAGTTTTATTTTTAGTAAGTTTTATTTTTAGTAAGTTTATTTTTACAGAAAATAAAAATGACACAAAAAAAGTTCACTTACTATTGAGTAGCATGGGTAAACCTTACTATCTACCAACATTTCTTCAAGAAGATCTTGATCTGTAAAAAGAAGAAAATGTTGACAAGTTATGCCACTCTCTACAATATTCTATGGAAGTAAGTCACTAAACTGTAATTTTAAACATCATGAAAATCAAGGGCAAATTCAATCACCAACAGTAGCAACCCTATGTAATTCATTTACATGAAAAAGAATAGGCTTTAAATGTTTGATTTCACAAATTCCAATAACACTTAGCTATATTTAAATATTTGAGGGATATGAGTAGTCTGGTAAATATGTATATTCATCCATAATTAGGATGTGAAAAGAAGCACTGAGATGAGCTCAGCTGGTCAGAGCAGGGTGCTAGTAACACCAAGGTTGTGGTTCAATCCCCTCACAAGCCTTCCTTGATGATCCTTGTAGATGCCTTCCAATTCAGAATATTCTGTGAATCTGTGACTCTGTAGTAACTTGAAGCTTAACAAAGATCTCCCTAGATCTCTGCTGTCAGGCAGACATGGAACACTTGTTTTTCCACGTTTTCTCTGCTGCATCATTTCTGTTAGCAATTCTTGGCTGAGTTTTGTACTTACATTTTAGAGTTTTGAAAGCCAGTTCGTAGGACACACGCCTGGACTGCTCATCTTTAAAAGCCACCATGGGAGACTCTGAGGTATCGCCATAGCGCAGCAGGATTTTACCTGAACTCTTTTCAGTACGAAGGCCTTGAAAAATCTTAGCTGCATTTATGTAGATGGAGTCAGGATAGCCATCCTTCCCAAGCTGAGTCACTGCTCTTTTTTCAACAGATCCCTTTTCATCCGAAATTTTCGTTTCACTCAAGACTGAAGTACCATTTATAACATCCACATGTGAAGACACCAAATTACTTTCAGAATCTGGCATTTTTCCAGTTGCTGACTGTGTAAGTGCAAGTCACAATCCTGCTGCCTCTGCAAAAAAGCAAAGTTTGTATTGAATAATGAAATTTTCTTTCAGTAGAACACACTTTTCCCTTCCTTTTAGGGCTTTCAATTTTCAGGTTCTAATCTTGCAAATACATATATATGTGTATCATCTATATTTCTATACAGCTATCATCTTACACATCATAGAGGAGTATTTATAAGTGTTTTCTTACATTATTTGTTTTCACCAATGCACATGCAAAGACTGGTGACTTGTTTTAAAAAGGCCAGTGCTTTACAATCACTGGTCCTTTATGGAATATACACACAGATCTGATTCTGGGTCCAATAAGAACCATTATTATTGCAGGCAGAATAGCATCTCTTACTAGGAATTCTCCTTTAATAAAAAAGACACCATAATTTCAATGCAGACATCATGTCTTGCAAAGAGCCATCCTGGAAAGAGCTGTAGTGAATTCCAAATGTTTGTCCACTAAACTGCATATCTGTTCTTAAAAGTGGATAACAGAGATCACCCAAATGTTAATGTATTTAATGCATTACCTAAGCACAATTTTAAATGCAGGAAACCCATTCTGAGAGTCTCTAGAGAAAATATACAACTCTCTCTAAGCCCATGTGCATTTCTTAAATTTTCTGCACATCTTACATTAACATATATAAAAATTACCTTTCCCAGAGGAGGAATAGGGCTTCAAGAAAAGGAAAAATTCCCAGAATTCATTGAATGCCAGAATATTCTAAAGTTCCACATAAAACATATTTGAAGTATTGGATTTACCCTACTTGCTCTGGTTGTTCCAACATGCATTTATGATAATGCCTGGATATGCAGAAGTCATATTAACTGTTCAGAAGTGGGTTAAGCCAAAACAAATTTAAACATAAAGATTTTTTAAAATCTAACTAGTCTTCCTTCCTATTCTAGGAAAGAATAATACAAAAAAACTCTGAGAAATTTAGTAGCTATAGCACAAAAAGCTAGGCATGGATCTACTGCTGCCAAAGAATTCTGGGTATTTTAGGATTAATAGTACAAAATAGCAGAATTTGGTGGAGGGAGAGGGGAATACCAGTTTAGAAATCAAGAAAGTGATATTCTGATCAAATTGAAGGGGTCTTCTTTTTTGCTACATGATTTAGTTCATTACAACAATTCTCAAGCTTTTTCCCTACACTCCCCAGCACCACTAAGGATAAAATACCTCTTCTCCCCAGGTCAGAAACACTTGCTCACCATCCTTTCTTCCTCTCTCCTTTCCTGCCCCCAATCACAAAAAACAGAGTGGCAATGGAGGATGGCAGCACACAGAGTTGGAGGGGCAAGGGAGGGGACACAAACTGTTGCTTCTCCAGTAGGCAGCCATTAAATGCTCCATGCTGGGCCACCATTCAAACTCCTTTTCCCAAACATGGGTGACACTCAGCCCATCTCTCCCCTCTCCAAGACCAGCACAAGTCAGTGTCTGACCAGCCCAGCATGCTCCACACAGTGTACCAGTGTGGCTTCCTGAATTCTGGCAACTCATCTGGAGGAGGCCACATCTCATTCTCCTTCCCCAGGATTTGCTCTCCAAAACTGAGAACTGCTAATCCTGGAGAAGCAACCCTTACTGTTACTTTACAGAGGCCTCAGACAAACAGCTTGTTCTGTTTTGCAGGAGTTTTGCTCCAACAACCCCATTAGATGCAGCAGTGCTGGACCCATGGAACAAACATAAATTTATTTTATGAAGCCATATTGAAACAGAACAAGCAGTGCTATCAAAAGAAAGCCCTATTCTCCACTAGAAGGAAGCACCAGATCACCTAAAACAAATTGAAACACTTGTGCTTAGAAAGGAAAAAAAATAAAAAAATAAATGCTTTCATGATCTTTTACACTATTTTGACCAGCAAACATATATGTCACAGAAACAGAGGCACCATCTCAGAGACCTGAAACTCCTATGTCCTCTCCAGGGGAATGCAAATATTCTATTTTAGAATATGGAACAAGTGAACTATGTCTGTGGTGTAAGGACTTTGAAGACTTGTAGAGTTCCCCAGTACTCTTTGTGACTTCTTTGCCAAAACTGTTTTTGCTAGCCACAACACACACTGCTATCAGGATGATTTGATGAACATACTTTCCCAAAAGACAAATGTCATACTAATAAAGATGAGATGCCAGTGTTCTGCCCTGTGCAGACACAGTGTATGTTTGTAACACTGGAAATCACAGTCTGATTTACTGAATGCTGTGCCAAGCAGACAACACCAAGCTGGATTAATACAAAGCTCAGCTGGGAAGAAGAGCTTCCCAGACAAGGGAGAAAAGATCCTGACTTTGTTTGTGGATCTCAAGCAGATTACTCAGTTGACAGGGAAAAAAAAACCACTCAAGGTCCCAAAACCAGAATGGCTTGAAGGATATCTACAGCTTCGACTTAATAAACTCAAGCAGACAGAATTATGACATTTATTCATTGCACAGCATAGTGAGTGATTCACACACACACATCCCCATAAAAATCACTAATTCCTTTGTTTACACACCAGTAAGTGTATTTTTCCCGTTTCTTCAGTTATCACCTTTTTCAGTAGCCTCTACAAATAAGGAAAAGAGAGAAAGAGAAAACAGCCCCACGGCACTTGTGTTGTATCAGGTACAGCAGGCAGCCTGACCACCCAGCTCCGATTCACATGAACAGGGATCCCATGAGAAGCAGCTTTGTGAGCATGGACGTGGCTGCTCACACACACCAACAAACAGTAAATCCCTGACAGCCATAGGTACACCCTGGTTTTCGTCTCACTAACTCTGTGGGGACGCCTGGCTGCATCTACTTCCTACCATCCCTGCGACTGACACTGAGCCTCAAAGCCTCTGCTGTCCCCAGCTCCAGCCAAGCTGGAGGGCAGCAAAGACTACTGAGAGTCAGCCACCACACCATTCCCCTACTGTGCTTTATTCATGCGAACAGCTGAACTCCACTCACAGGACAGGCATACAGAAGGGGAGGAGGGAAAAAGCAGCTATTTCTTTGTAAAATCAGGCAAAGCGTTCGTTCATTGAAACCCTGACCTGACGGGCCCTGAAACGCACCCAGCTCCCCAAAGCCACGCGGCCGCGGCACAGCCACTGCCCTTGGCCTGGGCAGGGCCCGCGGGGCTCGTACCTGGCCTGGCTCCTGCGGCTCCCTCGGGGCGCTACGGGCGGGGCCGCGGGCAGCACCCCCGGGCCCGTGCCGGGCAGGGGTCGCCCCATGCCGGGCAGGGCAGCGGGACCCCGGCACGGGCCGTCGGCCGCAGCCGCCCAGCCCCGCCGCGGCCCACACGCACCCGCGGCGCCGCTGCGGGGGACCGGGGCGCCGCCACCCGCCGTGCTCGGGCCGGGGCGCCGCCCGCACAGGCCCCGCCGAGCGCGGCCTGGGGGCCCGGCTCCATCCGCAGGGGCCGGGCCGAGCCCCCAGCCCGCGGCATCCAGCGGGGCACAGAGCGCCCGGCAACGGCGCGCACGGGGCTGGGGCGGAGGAGCGCTTCCAGAAGCTTCCGTGAAGCGACCTCCGAGCAAATCCCTTCGCGGGAGAGAGAGCTGCTCCCATGCTCCTTTTGGAACTTCAGTTTGTTTTGTTGTTTTGTTTGGTTTTTTTTTAAACCCCATTGGTTAAAAAAAAAAAAGTCCAAACAGCATTAACTGTCGCAAACTCCGCGAGCACGCTTACAGCCAAGTGTTACCGACACTCTCACGCCTCACAGCATGGAAACGCTACCAGGACTGGAACTCCCCCGAGTACAGGAATAGCCCCAGATAAGCTGCTGGGGTTTCACTTGCACTTGAAATTAGCAGCGTGATCATATAATGTTTTAGCTGTCTCGGCCTCTGCTTTTATTCAGAATTTGAAAACATAATTGGGACATGTTTTATAATTGTTTCCAGATGTTTTCTTTTTAAAAAGGGAGGGAAAGGGGGAAAAAATTATTGAAAATATTTCAGTAATCAATAAATCAGCCATAACCTTTGTAAAAAACCAGAAATCTGCTTTTTCCCGCAGAGTTTGTTCCTGTTACATCAATGCTTTCATTGCCAACTTTAATTCTCCTGAATAAGAGGGAAACCGCTGTGATTCTGTTAAAATCTGTGATGACTTTTGCAGTGTCATTTCTCCAACAAGATCCTGCCTAGGGCCTCACAATAGCACCTGTCACAGGTACGAGTGCCCTTACACAGGGAAGATAGAAGTACAGGCTTCTGCAGCAGGGCTGCACAAAAGCTAGATAGCCAGGGCTTTGGTATAGGTTGGCTGCACATTTGGTAAAGCTCAGTACAAACCTTAGTATAGCCATGTTTTTACAGATTGTGAGTTTACAGAGTTTTTTGGGAACAAGCTGCATTGAAGCACACAAGCCAGTGCTTGTTATTCCTGCCAAAAACTTGGGTGCTAGCCCGATCCCTTTCTGGTATCAATCTTATCAGATATCTAAGCAAACCAAGATGTGACTCTGTGCAATCGCCTGCATCAGGACTAGAAAGTTTGGGGAGTTAAAAACAGTGCTTAATTTGTTGACAACACCCCTCTGGTCTGGATCTGCTACGTGCTCCAGCATGGCTGGTGCAACTTTGGCAGCAGCAATTAGTTACAAAATGAGCCAAATATGCTGGGTAGACTTTGCACATAGCAGCTCAAACAGATCCTGGATCCTTCCTGATAAATGGGTAAAATACATGTTTAATAGGTTGTGTGGATCAATGGGGCAGTATGCTAGCTACAGTATAGATAGAAAGGAATTTTTTGTGCTGGTTTTTCCATTTTGTCCAAATAGATACGGCAGCTCTTTTAAAAAGACACATCTGGGAATTGCTGCCCAAAATCAATTTAATTTATGTGTTCTAATATTTCATCTTCACTTCAAAATAGTTTATTTTGCAAAAAGTTCTGCTAAGAATTTTCAGTATCTAGAACTATTTGTCTTTTGAAATAAATAAATAAA